GCTGAAGGTCAGCTAACAGAAGTTGCTAAAGATGCTAAGACCTCAAACGATTCTGACTATGCCAAGGTTTTGAGTTCTACATTGAGCTCAATTCTGGGTTGGGCAGAGAAGAGGCTACTTGCTTATCATGATACGTTCGATTCTGGAAATATTGATACCATGCAAGGTATTGTATCTTTGGGGGTATCAGCAGCAAAAATTTTAGTTGAAGATGTATCAAATGAGTATCGCCGGAGGAGGAAAGGCGAGGTCGATGTTGCACGCAGCAGGATTGACACTTACATTAGATCATCACTGCGTACTGCTTTTGCTCAGGCAAGTTATACCTATGTTATACCTGCTCCAACATTCCCTTTTAAGTTATAAGTGATGAGATACATCGTACTTTATACTGGCATCCAATGTTATATCGTGTCTTATCTTACCAAATCTCACAATTTCCTCACCTCATGCTATGATCATTACGCCCTAAGGGCTCCCCTGTGCTTTTGAAAATGCTGATTGTGTCTATTTAAGATTTAGTATATCTCTCAGAATTCTTCGGTATCCTTGATTATGGTAAACTTTCTCGCAGTAAAGTTTATTACTTGACTTCTAGCTTTTTTTTGTATAAAGTAGAAAATGGAAAAGGCAGATTCAAGTAGGAGAGCATCAAAAAGTCGACCAAATTCTCTTCCTCTCCTAGCCATTCTTGCAAAGGACGTTGGTGATCTTGCAGTAAATGAGAAGGAGGTTTTCAGTCCCATACTGAGAAACTGGCATCCATTTGCTGCAGGAGTGGCTGTAGCTACTCTTCATGCATGTTATGGAAATGAATTGAAACAATTCATCTCGGGTATTGGGGAGTTAACACCAGATGCTGTACAAGTGCTTAGAGCTGCTGATAAGTTGGAGAAAGATCTTGTGCAAATAGCAGTTGGAGATTCAGTGGACAGCGATGATGGTGGCAAGGCAATAATTCGCGAGATGCCACCTTATGAGGCTGATTCTGCAATTGCCGATCTTGTTAAATCATGGATGAAAACAAGATTGGACAGAATGAAGGAATTGGTGGACCAAAATGTACAACAAGAGGTGTGTGCTATAATCTTCATGTGTTTCTGTAGTATGTTGTTATTTTCCCTGGCTAAGGTACTTTATGAAATAAATAGCATGTTGACATCATGGTCCAAGGACTTATTGGCATACCTAGTTCTATTAGCTTTATCTCCCCTCTGTACTCTATTTTATGATCTACTTGCTTATGATATGTCAATAGCTAGCTGTTCTCAAATCTATATAACTACTTTGGTGCTTACTATTTTCATTTTTATTGATCTTCACAGTCTAGCAGTAGGTGTAATTAAAATGATAATTGTGATATCCCACATCGGTTGGGGAGGAGAACGAAACACCCTTTATAAGGGTGTGGAAACCTCTCCCTAGCAGACGCGTTTTAAAAACCTTGAGAGGAATCCCGAAAGGAAAAGCCCAAAGAGGACAATATCTGCTAGCGGTGAACTTGGGCCGTTACAAATGGTATCAGAGTCAGACACCGGGTGATGTGCCAACGATGAGGCTGTTCCCTGAAGGGGAGTAGACACGAGACGGTGTGCCAGTAAAGATGTTGGGCCTCGAAGGGGGTGAATTTGGTAGGGGTCCCATATCGATTGGAGAAAGGAACGAGTGCCAACAAGGACGTTGGGCCCTGAAGGAGGGTGGATTGTGATATCCCACATCGGTTGAGGACGAGAACAAAATACCCTTTATAAGGGTGTGGAAACTTATCCCTAACAGATGCATTTTAAAAACCTTGAGGGGAAGTTCGAAAGGGAAAACCCAAAGAGGACAATATCTGCTAGCGGTGGGCTTGGGCCGTTACAATAATGGAACTGGTTTTCTGATTTGTGAATGCAAATAAAAGAGGCACCAATTTCTTATTTTTAAGATGCCTCTTAATTCTCATATAAGCATTTAGCAATCGAACATGCATCCATCAATGATTGTTTGACATGGCTTGCATCAGTAATTGCTTTCATGGTTATCGACTGGTTACTAAAAGTGGGTTCCAAGTGCAACAAATTTTAGTCTTTATCCTTTATATTGAATTCTTCTATGGTTCTTGATTAAAAATAAATTCTGTCATATCATTCATATTGACCAAGTGACTTTGATTCATCCCCATGATTGAAGGCTTGGAATCCAAAAGAAAATCAAGGATTTGCACCATCTGCTGTGGAGGTCCTGCGAATAATAGATGAAATATTGGATGCATACTTTCAGCTGCCGATACCTATGCATCCTGTTCTACTTCCTGATTTGGTGGCTGGCCTTGATAGATGTCTTCAGTATTATATAACGAAAGCAAGATCTGGCTGTGGTATCTTCTCCAAACATTAATTTATTGCTGTAAGTTGATATTATCTGTGTTTTAATCTTCTCTATTTTTCTGGATCCACAGGATCGCGAAATACATATATTCCAACTTTGCCAGCATTGACGAGATGTACCATTGGATCAAAGTTCCAAGGCTTTGGGAAGAAGAAAGAAAAATTACCAAATTCTCAGAGGAAAAATGCCCAAGTTGCAACATTAAATGGGGACAATTCGTTTGGGATGCCTCATATCTGTGTTCGTATAAACACATTCCATCAAATTCGTGGTGAGTTGGAGGGTGTGGAGAAAAGAATAATCACTCATCTAAGGAATTCTGAATCTGCTCATGCAGAAGATTTTTCTAATGGTTTGGGGAAGAAGTTTGAACTCTCACCTGCTGCTTGTGTGGAAGGAGTTCAGCAACTTAGTGAGACAGTTGCTTACAAAGTCATTTTCCACGATTTAAGTCACGTTTTATGGGATGGTCTTTATGTAGGGGAGCCCTCATCTTCTAGGATTGAGCCTTTCCTTAATGAGCTTGAGCGCCACTTGCTCATCATTTCTGACACTGTTCATGAAAGAGTTAGAACAAGGATTGTTACTGACATAATGAAAGCTTCTTTTGATGGATTCTTACTGGTTTTGCTTGCTGGAGGCCCTCTGCGTGCCTTTTCCCAGCACGACTCCCGAATAATTGAGGACGATTTCAAATTACTCAAAGATTTATTCTGGGCAAATGGGGAGGGTATGCCATTAGAGTTGATTGATAAGTTCGCTACCACATTGAGAGGCATCCTTCCTCTTATGCAAACTGACACAGAGAGTATCATAGAGCGTTACAAACGTGTGACAGTAGAGACATATGGATCTTCTGCAAAATCTAGGCTTCCATTACCTCCTACTTCTGGGCAATGGAATCCAACTGAACCAAACACTCTTCTTCGTGTTCTGTGCTACCGGAACGACGACGCTGCTTCGAAGTTCCTCAAGAAAACTTACAATTTGCCTAAGAAGTTGTAATAGCCAGATGAATGACAGAAATGGTAACCCTTCTGCAGGAGCCTTATGAAGAACATTGCACAGGGAAAGCATTCTTAGAGAACAGTACCATCTCGTGCTGCTGTTTGGCTTTCTGGAGGGGACTGCTGAAGCTTCGTGAGAAGGTTGGTTGATATTTATTCACAATTCAATTGCTCCATCATCATTTTTAGTGCTGCTTTTTGTCTATAAGGCTTTCCTTCCACTAAGCATAATAACCTCAGGAAGGTCCCTGTTAGGTAGGGGCCTTTGGTCATCCATCCCTTAATTCATTTTTATTTTTTCATTTTGTTATCATTACAATGATGTCATAGGAGATAGAATCATTGTCGGCTGTGTATTCTATTTGTTATTTACTAACGCTATTCTGGTATCAGTGTGTATTATGTATAGCACCTATTTTTTAGCCATGTAATATTTTCCACATGTACATCTTATAGCACACTAGGAGTGCAAATGAGAATCGGTTTGAGTCAATTGTTTGCCAGAATAAAAACGGATGAATTCAAATGGATCGTAAGTAGATATTGTATTATTTGAGCTTTTTCTTTTGGGTTTCCTCTCAAGGTAGGGGAGAGGTTTCCTTACCCTTATAAAAAGATGCTTCGTTTTTCTCTTCAACTGATGTGGGATCTCACGATCCACGCCCTTCGAGGCTCAGTGTCCTCGTTGGCACACCGCCCAATGTCCATCCCCCTTCAGGACTCAACGTCCTCGTTGACACATCGCCCGATATCTAGCCCTGATACCATTTGTAACAGCTCAAATCCACCCTCAGCAGATATTGTCTTTTTTAGATGTTCTCTTTCGGACTTTCCTAAAGGCTTTTAAAACGCTAGGAAAAGGTTTCCAATCTCTCCCTAACCGATATGGGATCTCACAACCCACCCTCCTTCGGGGCCTAGCATCCTCGTTGGCACTCATTCCTCTCGCTAATCGTTGTCGTTCACCTGTCCAATCGATGTGAGATCTCTCAATTCACCCTCTTCAGGGCCCAGCGTTCTCGCTGACACTCATTCCTCTCTTCAATCGATGTGGGATCTCACGAAATCATTTTGGTCAACCATTGTTAATCCAAGTTCCTCCATGGAATTCAATCTCTATCATTGATATTATATTGTCCTATACACGAGCCATTCATAGGCAGAGTTCTTAAGAGTACAAATAACTGACCACTCACTAAGGGAACAACCCATTAATGTAACACATGCATAGGTGGTCGTCATGTCCCATGAACTATTCCCCTCATGCAAGGTTACACTTTGGTTGGTACTTCCCTAAGCTCCGGGACAAATAGTGAAAGGTTCAACAGTATAAGCAACTGAGGAGGCCATGAGATGGCCATGCAGTTCATAAGTAATTAGTCCCCAAACATGTTAACGAGGAACCGTACCATCATAAATGTACTAATGGTGACGGATAACTGCAGCCAGGAAGCAGTCCCGGACGTCATCCTCAGCCCTCCGGGAAAGCAAGGCCAAGCCAACTAGTTTATGCATATATCATAGACTAAATTATCTAACATATGAATCTCCACCTTTACACATTGAACTAAAGAAAAAATCATGCTCACATTGATAGATATATTAGTATTGAGTTCGGGTATTTTAGACATTAATGATCGAAAAAACTCCTTCAAAATCATGGATGCTTTTCTTCATTATCTTGTCTTCATCTTCTTCCTCGCTTTTGGTTTCAGTTCCCAAATCCTGGTTAAGGGAAGGCCACAACACGATCGAGAAGGATAAAACAATCGACAACCTTACCATTTCCAAGAACCCGGCTTCTTCCTTCGTCGCCATGACCATCAATGATGTGCACCTATAACGGTATGAGCAGCCCCAGAAGCAACTTGAACAGGACCCAAAAAATTTGGTGATTCAGACCCATAATGACTTAGCTTGCTTCTTTAGTTTTGATATTTATTGTAAACCAGTTGGGGAATGTTCTTGAGTGAATAAAGCATGGGAGAACCTATATGGAAAAAGAATAATAAAGGTATCGATATGATATGAGATGTTTTTTCAAACTGATTCTTTCCTTCGAGACAACTTCAAAGAAACTGTATTTTATTAAAATCATTATTTAAAAATAATTATTAAATATCCTAAGACTCGAGGGTTGTTACTATTTTACCGAGATCAATCAAACTAACTCGAACTAACAATAAAAATAATTTAGATCTTATTCTTCTAAGCTTGCTATAAATTTCCCTATCATTTATTCTTAATAATCTTTTATAATGCTATGCTAAGCATGATGATTTAATTTAACATCAATTTAGAAGTTGAAGTAGTTGAGGACGATTTTACACTACCATCGTATTTCGAAGGATCTTAAAATGTTCGTTTGACTGGTCTAGAGATTGTTGTCAACTACGTCGTGTTCGTTGACATAGGCAGACAAATTCAAATACTTTTGTTGATCTGTCGTCTCTTTCCACCGTGCCCTACACACTACGCAACTAACACTTCTCCTTCCCTTGCTTCGTTTCCACCTTGAGAAACAATCTTCATGAACAAGATTTCGACACGTCGAACAAGCTACAACACGGTCGTTCTTCTTCATATCATCCAAACAAACAGGACATGCAGTCCCTTCTTCCACAACATTTGCAGAAGAACCTCTTTCTTTTACCTGAAAGAATTGTTGATGAAATATTCTACGTATGCCAATCTCTGCAAGTGATTCTAACATTATAGGTGCAGCAAGCAAACGATTCAACTGGCAAGGTCGAAGTGTTCTCCTCCGAAGACATACGTCGTCAAGCGACAAGCCCAAGGCTCGAATGTAGATAAATAGTATGTGTTTGCATGGGGTAATACGATCGGGACAAGTACACGAGGGGGTGGAGGATAGAGTCACGATGTAAACATTGCCTGTGGCTCCCAACACAAAGAAGTTAGAATTGGAGCGGTAAAGGAGGTGGAGGTGATGGTGGAGAGCTCGAATAATCCGGTCAGCCACAGCTTGGGAGGGCTTGAACCGATGAAGGTGAAGACGGGGACCGTCCGGTGGGGACGACGAAGTAGAGGCAACGGACTCCATGAGAATTCTGGAAGGAAAAGCAATGAATATGGGTTATAAACAGTTAGTACACATACATATATACACACAAAAACACATTTCAGGTACGAAAATTCTTTGTGTAGTTTGAAGGGAAAGAGAGGGATTGTTTTGTAAGGCGGAGAATTCGAAAGAAGGCCGCAAGGCACGTAATGGCCAAAAACCCCCATGAAATACATACACTCTCCACCTAATAAAGGCACCTTTTTTCTTCATTCAAAAGTCTTGAAACAGTTCATAATGATCATCAAAGTTCTATACAAACAATGTAAAGATCAAAACTGGAAACTGGGGGGAAACGAAACTCTTACGGGCCGAGGCAAATGAAGCTCGACGATCAAGATTGTATCATATTCATTTCAAATATCAGAAAGGGTGCTTATTTTTCGTGCAAAACGAAAAGGCACACATGGGTTTTATATGTTTATGATTACCCAGCTTTCGAATTTAAAAGTTCTTAACTTTAATGCTTGTTTTCGAAGGCCTTTTTATCTTCGTATGTCGAAAGACCGATCTTGAAATGCAGCCATTAGTGTTTAAAGAAGAAAATGCCATGACATACTACAGACAGCAGTAATCAAGATATTATGCAGTAACCATCAATCTTCATCGGTAAAAAAAAAATCAAACCCCATAAATAATATGTTGAGGATTGTTGGGAGAGGAGTCACACATCGGCTAGAGCTTCGAAGGTGTACTCAAAAGTGACTCAAGTGTCGAACAAAGGGTGTACTTTGCTCGGAGGAGAATTGTTGAGGATTGTTGGGAGAGGAGTCCCACATCGGTTAGAGCCTCGAAGGTGTAGTCAAAAGTGACTCAAGTGTGGAACAAATGGTGTACTTTGTTCGAAGGAGGATTGTTGGGAGAGGAGTTACACATTGGCTAGAGCCTCGAAGGTGTAGTCAAAAGTGTCGAACAAAGGGTGTACTTTGTTCAAGAGGAGGATGGTTGGGAGAGGAGTCCCACATCAGCTAATTAAAGGGTTAAACTCATTTATAAGTACGGAATACATCTCCATTGATATGAGGCCTTTCGAGGAAACCAAAAGTAAAATCATGAGAGCTTAGGCTCAAAGTGGACAATATCATATTATGGTAGAGAGTCGGATTTCTAACATAATAAACAAGATATTAACAAATATCATAATCGCAACTATCAGGGAAACCAATTACTCGAATGTCAGGATCCATTACCCAGATGACAAACTAAGCACGAAAATGAAGTTAAAGCATCCGAGCAAAACGTTAACGTACCTTCAAGCTTAAAACCCTGTCATGCACGGTGTATGTGGCTAGGCATCCGAGAGGCGTCAGCAATTATACATATAGATTGTGGAAGTGCTAATCAAAGATTCAAACACCTGCAGTTGATAATGGAAACAGATTAAGTAAAGAAAAATTAAAGATTCAGATACTTGTAGTTGATAATGGAAACATGAACATAGTCAAACCACAAAGTCCATATGAACAAATATTTAAAACGGAAAGATTTCCCTTACCACACAACACCAAAACACTTCGCTCAAAGAACTGCATGAAACTGCTTGATGGCACTTGGAAACCAGAAGGCAGCCATTATTCATTCTCGATGAACGATGGAGTCCCGCAATTTTTTGACTCGAACGCTAGGCCAAACACAAGAAGAGAATGGTAATAGTGGGCTGCCATTACCAAATCGACAAGATATAAGAGGCGAACTAGCTGCTAAAAGATGGTGGCTGAATCTGACCAACAAGTCCATTAGCAAAATGGCACATTCAGCCTCCAGAACACCCGAACGTAGCCACAATTCGTGCCTCGACTATGTTCAGCTACAGAACCTCTGGCTTCATGAGAAATCTTGTAATCTACTGCAGGGGGAAGGAAACTTTATAATCCTACATAGTGACATGTCAGGGAAAAAAAACTATAGAACATTTGTCTCTAAAATGGAATTGAGAATTAAAGGGTAAAAGTAAAAATAACTAATGATTATATTGATAAAAATTGACTAAAAATGTCACGTAGAATATCCTCAGTTCCAAAAAGGTGGGAGATATGGATCTAAGTACAAGCAAGATGGATATGAATACCCATAGCCCACTGATGCTCGATATCTATAATGGCACATTCCCCAACGCCCCGAAAAGATGACCTATGCTGTGGACATGCCTTCAACCAAGAACTAGTGCTCAAGACTATACAAAACCTTTAACAAATTGGTAAAAATGCCCAAACCCCAGAGACATGAAAGATCTAAACTTAGCTCATACTTGAATAACATGAATGAAAGCCAGAGCATAGGTGCCTGTATCTGATGTAGTACGGTGGCGACGTTAATGAACAGTTTAGCTACATCAACTCCATTTTCCCCCGTCGTATCCACCAGAGAAGAGCACCGTCTGTTAAAAATTTCAGGCTCTAAGTGGTATCGGCTTAGGGGTGTTTCATGAAACGGTTCGGCCATAGCAAATAGATGCAATATAAAGGTTCTTTGCCCATTTCTCCTGCATAAACACCAGAAACCAAGACTTTCAGAAATTTAACAATGCTAAACAAAGATATAAAGTAATGTGCGTTTGCACGACTAACCTTGACATGTGTACTAGGAAAGGCAGATGTTCGGAGTGTTTCTTGAGTTTCATCAGCGGGCTTTCGCCTTGGCACACTCAGAACAAACGCAGCCTGGTCCAAAGTTGCTGCAGTTGACGTGATGCGGTAACCACCATCCCACCTGCGATGAATACCTTCGCTAGGATACAGGAAATCTAGTTCCACAACCTGTTAAGTGATCAAAAGTCAAAATCGAAGTCAAATTGGTTTTAATAGAACAAGTTTAGTAAAACCAATTAGCTTAATACCTGGTCCGAAAATCCTGCACCACGTGACATGACAATAGCCCATCTACTCCCGGCAGTAGCCATGGCAGTAACGTAAAATCCCTCCCTCCATTTCTTAAGTATCCACTTGAAGGGAAATGAATCGCTGACTTTATAGGATTGCTGGAGGTACTGAGTCCCTGCATTAAATTATAAGTATAAGAAGCAACACATACACACACAATACGACTGCGTTTTCTTCTAGCCATTTGGAATATGTTGAATTAAGACGAACCTTTGGACATTACTACCAATGAGCTCCCATTGTTAGCTCCTGCTATTGCACTTATGTAATAGTTTTTTTCCCACTGTTCCACGATCCACTCCTAAATGAACAAACGAACATTATTACCCATTTAACTAACAAGACCGCGAACTCTGTTGATACGAAATAAAGCAGTCTTCAGAATCCATGGGCCAAAATGAAAAACAAACATTTAGATGTAATACAACATGCAGAGTATCCAAGATAATTGTTATCTTCATGGGGAAAAAACAACCTTGTGAAGAAAGCATGGTGAGAGTTCATAAACTTGAGCAGTAAATCCAGTTCCAGCGTCCATAATAAGGCCCCAAAGGTTCGAACATGAAGCAACACAACTAATAAATAAGCCATCTTCATTCCCTTTCTCGATGTGCTGAGAGAGCCTCATATCAGCAACATTATAGTGATATCTACATCGGGCCAAGTTAATTAGTAACCTTATGATGAAATTGAGCTTCATCTTTAGAGTCGAGTGCAAACCTTTGTTTCATTGGTCTACGGGCGTTATAAACACTAATCCATTGAGTTGCAGGCATCCCCATTCTAACCTTCTTCTTCAGTTGTTCATCGTCTTCGTCCTCCATGGATAGCCTTCCTCTCTTATGCCCAACCTGAAATATAAGCTTCACATAACAAATGATGTTTTAGATAATACTCAAGTGCAAAGTTTACAATCAAAAAGTGCAATGGGCAGTCAACAGAAAGATGTAATCAAGGGAACAAGTGAGTACTTTCTGAGCACCATCTGTGTTTATTGGATGGATATCGGGATTCGGACCGACAATCCCATCAAAGAGGGAGATATATCTTGCATAGTTTGGCTCTTCATCAAATTTCAAATTTACAACATACTCGACAAACTGTCTAAAAGGCTGAGGGCAAAAACAGCACAACGTTTCAGAGGATGTAGCCATCTTCTTCTTGGACACAAGGAATCCTTTATTTTCGCCCTGGAGAAAATATATACTCCGAGTTCAGAACAAATCTATCATATTTACACAAAGAGTTAACATCCATCAGCCCCGAAAAAAAACGTAAACCTGATATCCTTGCCAAGGCAGCCGACCACGAATAAGAAAAACAAGAGTGTAAGCAAGCGATTCCAAGTCATCTCTTCGACTAGCAGTTCTGCCAAGATGTGCATGCACACTAGCATACCGAACTGTTCCTCTGAATATAGAAGTAAGATGGAGTTGTTTAAGAGCCTAAATGTTATATAAATATACAAATATCTCATCATATATACAGCTTTCGTACCGGAAAATGTCAGGCCGTTGATCATACTCAACATGTTGACCAGTCGAACTATCTCGCCACTTGGTTGCTATAAGATGGACCAATGAGACGGTAAGGTGTATTTCATATGTAAACAAAATAACGTTCCATGAGATGGAAACGGTTAATAAAAAAAAATGAGATACCTAAACCAAGATCTACAAGAAACAACTTTTTCTCTTCTGGGGTTCCTGGAGGACCGAGCAGAAAGTTTTCAGGCTTCACGTCACCATGCACATACCTGTCAGAGACATTGACAGAGTCATTCAAGAGCAGAAAAATAATTACAAGAACACTGCTAAATCATTCATAAGCCAGTGAATGAGCTAACTATGTAACAAATATCTAGCTTAGCCGTAGTAGATGCAAGAATCATTCATCATAGCTGGCATAATGTTTTGTGCAAAGGTATCTAGATCCGACACAGACTTAACATGTTCCTTTACAGCTACAGCATCCTAGGACCCTATGCAACATTACTGTCCCTCCATATCAAACAAGGGAATACAGAATAAAGGCCTCACCCTCTAGAATGCATCTTCTCTAATATAGAGATTGCCTCAATTGCGATACATGCTACCATTTCAATAGACATCCTGAGATTCGAAGAAAAATTTAGACATATTACCATGCGATAAATCAGCACGAATAAATTACAAATAGTGGAAAAACCTTAAACAAATGATAAAATTATAATATAAACTTACGTGTGAGCATTGTTATTCCAGACATCCCAGAGACTGGGTCCAAGCATGTCCATAACCTATATCCAAAGTATAGCTATTCACAACGAAATATAAATAATAGTACAAATCTTTGGTTAATCCGAGCATAGCTCAGTAGATAAAGAGACCGATGGTAATCAATCTACCAACCCCCCTAATTGTTGAACTCAGAAGAAAATTATGCAAAACTCTGATGTGCTTTAAGGCTTTAACAGAAAGTAAATAACGTAAAGGAAACAAAGCATACCATGACAAAATAGTCACCTTGCCGACCCTTGTAATGAACTCGTGGCACACCATGGTTACCACCTAAAACGCTGAAGAACCAAGAGAAAAGTGATTAGAACACGTAATATAAATAACCTTTTGACTAAAATATAATCCACAAGGACCGAGAAGAGCATTACTTGTAAACCTGCCACTCGTAAGGAGGTCCATAGTTGCACCCTTTACTACTTCTATGTTCAAATTTTAAGGCCACCTGTAATATGGATAGATCATATGAAATGTAGGTAATGTAAACAAAGAATTCGGTAAGCGTTACAAATAGGGATACCATACCTCCACAGCTCCTGGAGATCTTTCATTCAAGCTCATGGGACCCATGCGTCGACCCACAAACACCTGTCCAAAACCTCCTTTTCCCAGTTTTCTTTCAACTTTATATAACGGAGAACCACCAACCTGAACCTGTTGCATAAAGAGGATAAAACATTTGAAAAAGAAAAATGAAGCAAAAAACGCCATGACTGCAATGTTGAATAAAACTCATGAGGTGATACTCCTGGATATAATATTTCTCTCTTGCTGTCCCAAAAGAAAAACTAATGCAGTATATCAGCAGGCATCGTATCACTTTTATATCATTGCAGAAAAACATCTGAATGAAGATAATCATGTGCTAAATGCAGTATTAAGATTCATCAACAAGATAGAGACAAATAAGAGCTAATAAACGATTAAATTACAGGAAATAATTCTCTGAAGAAAAATAAAGAAAGACTAAAAGATGGGGTAATAAAAATATCACAGATGAAAAGATAAAGGTAGAGCAACAATAAGTTCCATGCAAAGAATTTGTCTTTGACAATCGAATACTTGCAGCTCTGCGAATTTTAAGTAGAAACTAGAACACTACCTGAAAACGATACCAAATATAGAGAAACTGTAACCGCTCAAGCCCACAGCTAGCAGATATTGTCTCCTCTTTGGGCTTTCCCTTTTGGGCTTCCCCTCAAGGTTTTAAAACTTGTCTGCTAGGGAGAGGTTTCCACACCCTCGTGGGATCTCACAATCCACCCCCTTGAGGGTCAGCGTCCTCGCCGGCACACCGCCCAATGTCTAGCTCTGATACCATTTGTAACAACTCAAGCCAACCGCTAGCAGATATAGTTCTCTTTGGGCTTTCACTTCTAGGTTTCCCCTCGAGCTTTAAAACACGTATGCTAGGGAGAGGTTTCCACACCCTTATAAGAAATGTTTCGTTCCCCTCTCCAACCGGATCTCACAAAAACTCTCGAAATGATTACCAACAATTGTTTTAACTCCAGATAGATGAAAGCGTATCAGACCATAACTATGCTCCAATCTGAAACAAAGCAATCTCTAAAAGTTGCATAAGTTCATAAGTAACAAGACCAGCAGAAAAAACTTGGGGTTGCCCATTAATAACTCATACATTTCCGAAGAAATCAAAGAAATCAGCACGTAAGAACAGGGTGATAGATTTAAAGCCCCAATTTTCTTCACCAATCCCTCCCTGTCCTTTCTCAACCATCAACACAAAGCCATCGATTCAAGAAACATCAGAAAACAAACACATATCCAAGAATTAAAGAGCTTCACCTTCTCCGGAAGAGGAGTAGCCGTCCCTTCATCCTCGGCTACAGGACCCTTATCTCCGTTCCGTCCACCGGTTTCGAACTCATCCATGGCTCTGCCACCAACCTTCAGTACGTCTTTATCCTTCCCAACTTCGTGTTTTCTCTCACGCAGCCTCGTTTCAATACCGATTCCAGGGTTCACTCTAACCCTCTCACCATCGGCAACGATCGCGTCTTTCCCCTCCTTAACACTCTTCCCTCCGCCGCGTTCTGCCAGTTGCCCTCGGTGGCGTATTCTTACAGTTGACTCAATGAGTGTTTGGCGGGCAATCGGGACTGAGTCTTCGTATAGGCGGCTCCGGCGTGCTTTGCTACGGAGCTCAGGTATCATACAGCCGGTGGTCCATGAAGGACGGCAAACTTCGCCGGAGAAGAAGACTCAGGAATCATCTACGGCCATGGGAAACCCCAAATTTGAAACTGAGAACAGAAAATGTAGAAAAAATCAGAGTCCAGAGCCGACCGACAGAGAAGGCGAAGATCTGTGGAGCGCTGAACGGAAGAGTACAGTGATCTTCAAGTACAGAGCAAAACAGAGAGAGAAACAGAGCTTAGCCTTCGTTTATGCAGCCCTTTTCTTTTATTTATTTATTATTATTTAAACGAATTACAAATTTATTCCCTAAATTTTAAATTTAATTATTGCACGTTTTAATTTTTTTTTTTGAATTCGCGTATTTTTAAATATAAAAGTAAAATTCATAAATATATATATATAACCGATTTATTAGTCACAAAATCATTAATTAAATTAATATAAATGTGAGAACTAAATTGGAATTTTAATTATTAATATTATTATTTAGTTAAATAAGATTGCATTTGGAGATGAGACAATATATTAATTAATCAATATTTGTTAGTTTTTTTAGTATAATTTTATTACTTATTTTTTATTACTTACCTGTCTAGTTATTTATAGACATATTTATTGTATTGTTTCATTATTTTTAACAAAATTATATAGTTTCATTTACTTGGTCTGATTTAATTAATTTTATTTGATATATATATAATGAGAATATTATTTTTAATCTTTATTTTAAATATAATAAGGTCTAGTAAAATAAAAACAATAACACATTTGTAAGTCAATATATTAGTCAACAGAATGGAATCTTTCTTCCCCCACCCTTGCTATGCAGTTGAAACCGTTTATTTTAATGAAGTTGTCTTATTTATTAAAATTATTAAAATAAGTATCATATTCTAAAAATATAGATAGTGAATTATCCAAAAACTAAGTTTATTTTATACGCATTTAATAAAATAGGGTGAATTGGGGGAATATAATGACTAAATACATTTGGCTCAATATATATATATATATATATATATATATATATTTCGTACATATTATATTATTATTAAAATTGTATTATTTCGGAATATTTAATAAATGGGAGGTGACATATAATTTAAAAAATAAAAAATGAAATTTTTATAAACAAGACATAAATTCCGGTTCGGTTTTAATTCAAATTACACAAAATGGGCCTGGGCCTACAGAAGTCCAGTCCATTTCTGCAGAACAGAGGTTTGTTTGGCCCATAACAGCTTTTTTTTCATCCAAAACCCAATAGTTATTTTTATTTTTATTATTATTAATTCTTCGTATTGCTATTATAACTTATGTATTTAAAATAAAGATTAGATAATTAATAATATAATCATCAATTTAATTTAATATTATTTAATACACAGTTTAATAAATTAATCATAATAATAATTATTAAATATTTATACATTAAGATTAATTAAAGTAATATTGATAATTAAATTTCATCATTTAATTAATAAAAAAGTAATTAAATATTCATAGTTATATTTATTTAAATATTTAAAGACAATATAAAATATTTTAATTTTAATTTATATACTTTCAAATCGTGTATTTTTTTAATTTAAATTTTACTAGAAAATCGAGTGGCTCCTAACAAAATACAAATTTAAAATTGAGAAATTTATTTATTTATTTATTTATTTTATACCCAAATTATTATTAAATGTAATTGGAAATTTAAAAATGAGAAGACAAATTCTTATATTTGGACCCAACATTTGTCATAAATGCGTGCGGGCATGGATGCCAGGGAAGAACTCCAAAAATTATTTATTTATTTATTTATTAATTTGTAATTTAATTGGTATTTTTTAAACACTATTTTTTAATTTTTTTTAATGGAAGGTTATTAATGTAACCTTTTATTTAAATAGAGTATTAATGGATTAATTCAAGACTAACGATAAAAAAATATTTTTGAATTTATTTTTACCAAATATTTTTATTTATTTAACGTATTAATATTGTAGCGTTAAAACTTAGCTTAATTCACACGCTCATAAATGTTAAGCACTTCGCATCGATTCTTTCACCTTGCGAATATTTTAATGACTTATTTTTTAAAAAATAAATAAATAATTGGTTTTTTTTAGTTTTAACTAATAAATTTTTATTGTTTTTTTTAATTGCTCTGTTATAAAAGTCAAAGACTTTGGAACTTTGAAAAGAAAACAGACCAAAAGCTTTTCTCTCTCTCTGTCTCTCTCTGTTTCTCTCTCATGGAAGAACAGTTGCTGCCGCCGTCGAAGTGGGAAGGAGAAGTCTCCGCCGAGACAACCGCCGGGAAGCCTCACGAAATCTGGCCGCTGCTGGCCGATGACTTCTGCAGTCTCCACAAATGGCTTCCGATGGACACTTGTCATTACGTGGAAGGTGTAGAGGGGCAGCCGGGTCTGATCCGGTACTGCGCCACCACCGACACGACGTCGTCATCAGAACCGTCGATTAAGTGGGCCCACGAGAGGCTGAAATTGATTGATCCGACCGAACATATTCTCACCTACGAGATCCTGGACAACAACATCGGATTCAAGTCGTACGTGGCCACCATTAAGCTGCTGCCTGGCGGCGGAGACGACGGCGGCGGGTGCAAGATGGTGTGGTCGTTTGAGGCGGATCCGATTGAAGGGTGGCCGCTGGAGGAATTCGTGAAGTATCTTGAATTTTCTCTGCAGCAAATGGTGAACAAAATGGCAGGGTATTTGCAGAAAAGTCCCTGAACTTTTTTCAAATTATCAAATGAAACCATGCTCTTTGATTTCTCAGTTGCAGGTCTGAAATTAAATCATCATATTTCTTGTTAACAAATAAATAAATAAATATATATATTCCTTCTAAATAATTATTCTTTTTTTTTTTTTTTCATGGTTGAAATTTGGAATAATCATGTGCAAGAAAATTCAATGTTTGGGCTTTTAAAGGTCAGAAGGTTTCTTTTTTATATTGGTACATTCAATAATTGATATTCGATTATGATTTTTTTAAAATTAAAAAAATCAAATTATTTGGGGAATATTATGTAGAGTTGACTTTGATATGATTTAAATTAAAGACTAAATTTAAAAAAATATGTATAAATTTTGAACGAGTGAATTATGATACATAATACTTAGAGGCAAAAGTGTAAAATATATAACTAAATCGAAAGTAAACTCATAACTAATGAATAAAAATATAATATTTTAAAACTTAAGGACTAAATTTTAATCTTTCTGTCGAGAATGAAGGACTAATTAGGACCTAATTATTATGAAAAGTAAAGTTAGTCTATAAGATATACAAATTTAGTAGCCACTACAGCAAACACAATAAACTAAGGCCCTGAAAGTGTTCTTCATTTTGCAAGAGTTTTGTTGGCATTTAGCCTTTTCATCAACCAATTGATTATATCCTGACCAATCTCCTCTCGCTCAGGCTCAAACAGCAAGTCATGCAAGAACCCTTCATACAGCTTTATGTCTTTGAACTCAGAAGCTGCCTCATTGTACAGATCCTGGGATGCTACAGGATCCGTGACTTTGTCGGCTGTCCCGTGGAGGACGAAGAAGGGGACGGTGACCGACTGGAGGTTTTGCATCAGGTATGATGAAATCCGCAAGATCTCGTGGCCTGTTCGGACTCTGATCGGTCCGGTGTATACTAATGGATCCGAGTATTTTGCCAAGAGTGCTGCAGGGTCCCTTGAAACTGGAATGCCTCTCTTATTTGCACCTTTGAACTGAAACTTTGGAATCACTATGGAAAAGATTGGAGCTAGAGCCTACATTATGGAAGTAGTTCAACATGAGTGTGTTTATAACCCAGAATTGCACAGTATTCTCGACGGCCAATCGGCCGAAATCGGGATTATACTTACCTTGACAATAGGATGGGCGGGTTTAACTCGCAACGCAGGCGAAGTCAGTATAATTCCCTTCACCATTTTCTCTATGTGAGGGCTTAAAGCGGCCTGCATAAAATTGTAGTTAAGGAGACTGAAAATGGATATCACTTTGCCAGATGGGTTAGGGATGTTTTTTGAATTAATTGACCTTCAAAACAACGGCCCCTCCCGTGGAGTGTCCAAAGAGGAAGCATGGTGTTTCAGGGTTCTCAGATTTAATCTTTTCTAAGAATGACCCCTGCAGAATGGAAAAACAATGAACATTCCCTTCCAAATCTAAACTAATTCCTTGAACAAATAATTCAATCCCATAAGGAAAGTGTCATCATAACGTGCATGAAAACAAAAAGATGGAAACAAAAACACATGCATAACGTAGTTGTATTTATTTTCTTAGACTTAAGTTAGAATATGATGTTTTTACTTTTAATGTTTATTTAGTATTTCGTTGCGTTGTTTTAAAGATGTTTTCGAACACGCAAGTCCATAATAGTGTTTTAAGATGAAGTTTAAACGTTTATTTCTGCACAAAATGAAAAAATTTAGTGTCAAATCATTTGATAGTAAATGTCTATTCTAATGTGCATGAAGACAAAAAGATGGAAACATAGTTTCACTATAACAGGATGACAAGCACATTAGAAATCAAAGGAATAAATTGAGCTTCTAGAAATAACGATCAAATAAAACTTCACATCGGATTAAGTTATTGTGCAGATCAATGAAAATTGAACTTACAGTATCAGCAACAACATGGTCAAGAGAGGGAACAAATCCATGTAATCCATCACTTCCACCATGGCCTACAATAAGAACACAAGACAACAGCCAAGAACACAATTAAAATCTTTCACCAAAATGACTAATTTCCGATATCATCCAAACTAAAACAAAAATCATCAATATTCATGTGGAAAAAAACAGAGTATTGAAAACTTTTGTTAGATTGTCAGAGAAACCAAAGACAACAATGTTGCGGTGTCTAGCCATGCACAAACTTGTTGTCAATATAGTCAGGAATATATAAACAACAAAGCAATTGATATCCTATTAACATTTAGTTTAAGCTTTTGTGTTCATGGTGATTCAACATGATATTAAAACAGAAGGGCTTTGATTTGAACTTCTATAACGTCGTTTTCTCATCAATTAATATTAATTTCTACTTGTTAAACCTCCGGTAATGTCATTTCCTTCCCAATTACTACAACCCATCAATTAAAAGAATTGATGATATAGAGAAGAAAACTATGAAGAAATCTAAACAGAAACTAGAAAGTTTCATAAAACACCACGAGAGAGACACAGAGAGAGGTGATATGCATAGCTTAGCTACCTATCCA